AATGGTGGTTGATGGTAGTTACTGGTGGTTAAAAGCGGGTCACGTGGTGGTCAATGGTGGTTGATGGTAGTTACTGGTGGTTAAAAGCGGGTCACGTGGTGGTCAATGGTGGTTGATGGTAGTTGATGGTGGTTATTAAAACTGGTTCATGTGGTGGTCAATGGTGGTTGATGTGTTTGTTGATGGAGGATGGCGGGGCCCCGCCGGGCAGCTATATACCACGCACGCACATAAGCGTGCTTACGGTGCGGTGAACCTGGTCCCCACTTCCTCTCCTCACTGCTCAACACAAACCATCTCCGTACCGGATATCGTACGGAGGCGCCGTCCGGATCCAGTATAGCAAAAACGCTGACGCTAGGGAACAGGGACAGCGTCGTGTTGTCACCGGTCAAGTTGACAGTCGGGTACGGCTCTTTAAGCTTGGCGCCGGGCAAGCACGCAGCCGCCACAGACGTTATATCGTAGGACAAGTTGCCGCACCAAGGCCGAAGGGAAGTGGAGAGGCAACCTGGCAACGCACAAATTAAAAAATTAGATATCGACAGAATCAGCTAGAGGATTGAGATTTAAGGTGTAATAATGATAATTGGCAAACGCAGGGGGACGTTGGCAGAAGGCCGAAAAAAACGGGGGAAGCGCGGCTACGCACGTGTAAACGTTTCCAAATCGTTTCAAATTGTTTCTAAGAGAATGAATCTGACATGAAACGTTCCACGTCACTTTCCGTGTCGGGGATTTAAAAAGAAGTGGAACCTGCGGAATGAGAGGATAACACAGTGTTAGGAACACAGCAAACCACCACGGAACCCCTAAGGGGGTCCCATTACTGCTGCCACGGGTATATTCACGGGTATGTGAGTGAGTGTCGATCCCATCCAACAACGGACAAAACATTAAGAGTACATAGCTATCTATTGGACTAGCACCTCCACACTTCTATAGCGGAGGACAAGTAAGCAAAACACTCTCCCCATAGTTTCACGACAAATAAAAAAGCGTTTTGAAGTTTGCCAGCATCTGCCCAAGAAGACGGAGGCAACATTGTGCGACTTCTGTACGCCGTACCAACAGGTGCATCATGTCGTAAACCAGCACAATGGGTCACGAAAGTGCACGGAAGGAACAGCGCCTACAAAGCGCCTCTCTCTTCTTGGCGGATTACTGGAAACCGCCGTCGTCTTCAAAATGCTTCAAAGCACATGACGGTCCGCACCTCCGGTTGTTTTATTCACCACTGCCCTGAGCATCTTGACATCGCCGACAGCATTTACCCCCGCCGTAGAAGTGGAGGCGTCAGGTGCAGCCTCTCCTAACAGCAACCAAAGCTCTGAGGCGCTCTGAGAAAATAAGGTTCGTGGGAAACGGAAAAACAAGGATGAGGATGATGCGGATGAGGAGGGGATTAGGGATGATGCGGATGAGGAGGGGATTAGGGATGATGCGGATGAGGAGGGGATTAGGGATGATGCGGATGAGGAGGGGATTAGGGATGATGCGGATGAGGAGGGGATTAGGGATGATGCGGATGAGGAGGGGATTAGGGATGATGCGGATGAGGAGGGGATTAGGGATGATGCGGATGAGGAGGGGATTAGGGATGATGCGGATGAGGAGGGGATTAGGGATGATGCGGATGAGGAGGGGATTAGGGATGATGCGGATGAGGAGGGGATTAGGGATGATGCGGATGAGGAGGGGATTAGGGATGATGGTGCAGGTTGAGGGCGAGGAAGTTGGAAAGATGGGCGAGGAAGTGAAACGACGTGCGAAACGACGAGGACGACGAGGACTCAGAACATGCGCCAGACGATACATGGCCGCATGGAGGACATCACATCACATCACATCACATCACATCACATCACATCACGCAATGATCCTTACGGATCCGCTGTGTAGCATTCCCTTCGTTCATCGTGCATATTTCTGTTACATTATAAGAAGCAAAAAGAACTCATTTAATCTAAGACACAAAAGAACAGGTGCCGACGTCCAAAGCAGCAGCAGCAGCAGCAGCAAATGTTGGAGTCCCCAGCGGTAAGGTAGCTGCTCTTTTAAGAATCTACATCATCGGAAGCGGGGCCCTGGCGACACGCGGGACGCGAGCGGTGGACATAACTGGAACGCACAAGGCCCACCTGGGGCGGCGAGGAGCACCAGAACGCTTAAATGCGCGGGAAAGGAGGAGACCGAGGCGACCGGCGTTCCGACGGCGACCTGCAAACCAACCGACCAACCGACAACCCACTAACCACCTAGGTGCCCCCCTCCCTCCACGCGCTTTGCAGATAGGCCTACCCATACACACGCAAATCCAAATCGACTGCACCAAAACTGCACCGCAAGGTACACGTCCAAGACGCCCGCAGCACGCAGCACACCGCACTCCAGCCGTCCGTCCCTTGCCCACCTGGCTCTTCACCAGCCCGGCCGACGCCAGCCGCCACGATGTTAGCGGTGGCGTGGACTGCGCCGCCGCCGCCGCACCTTCCGAAGCGCGCCGCCGTTGGGGAGCAAAGACAGCCAGATTTGTGCTTTCAAATCCCGCTGCACGGTAGATCCGCTGTCGGCGGCGTCGGGATCCGCGCATGAAGCAGCGTCCAGGAGCCAGATGGACTGATGGGGAGGCAGCGCGACGGCGTCGTCGGCAACAGAGGTTGATCCGCCGATAACGAGCACAGGGGAGAAATTCGCTTCGGCAGGTTGAGACGAGGAATTCAGGCTGACAGCTGGGTTGGTGGAAATCGCAACTGATCCTGCGGCACACAGGGTGGTTGGTCGTTATTAGTTGCTTGTTGGTTAGGATGGGGCTGTGTGGAGGGGGGGAAGAGGAGAATGCGCGAACGAACGCAGGCAGTGATGGGGAGGGGGGGAGCATTCAGCTGGTGCGAGGTGG